CCGAGATTTCTTAGTAGGGCTCCCAGCTGATGGCACACATTGTCCCAGTGGTGAAAGTTACTTCTGGGAAAAGAAGAAAAGTGGGAGAAAGAGAGACACAAGAGAAAACGAAAACTGCTGGCAGCCGCCGGCAAGGCAGGAGAAGAGCAGGCACCAGGGCCCCAGGCTGTTGGGCTAGCGGGGGGGGCGCGCCAGCCGGCGGCCGGCTGCGGGAAGGCTGGGGCAGCCCTCGCCACTGCACGGGTTGAGGGCCCTCAGGCCCTGCCTTGCTCTCCCAGAAAACACCCCACATCCAGTCAGGACGCTGACACAAGCATAACAACATCAGGTGTGCCCCAGAGTTGCTCAGTGGGTTCCTGCTGGCACTGCACTGTGCCAGGGACGCCCAGCGGTGACCATGGCCCCTGCCTGCCGTACACACACTGAATAAGCCCCCCTTAACAACCACCCTGCAGCAGCCTTGGTAGAGGAACCATTTGCTTTTTGATTTGTGAGTGAAGCGATTCTGAAAGCCAAAGCTCCATTTATTTATATTTTCTTGGTTGTTTTTTAAATCTCTATCAATATGTGCAAGACTTTATTTTAAAATGCCAGTACCACTCTAATGCCATTTATACAAATTGCTAAACCAGACTTTTGTCAGTGTTCAACTAAGGCACACCATTGCAGAAAAGCCTGAATTAATAATCTCACCGACTCCATGCAATAAGACAGGCAAGCAACGAGTATCATGCCTGCAAACACCATATCATTAATAAATATTTTCCCATTTGATAAAAGCATACTCTTATAAATGCAATTACTTGCGCTGTTTATGCTCCTTTCATCGCAGCCTCCCAGGCTGCTGAGAAAACCTCATCCACCAGTGGGAACTGGAGGAATAAGATCGCCTGACCCAGGTGGATCACAACAAGCTACTGATTATTCAGCACTGACTTCACTTTGAAGAGCCTTCCAATAAAAAGAAAAAAAAAAGTTAAACCTATGACACGACTTCAAAAATCGCAGGCAGCATTTTTAACCTCTGTCCTTTTGCATTACTGTAGCTGTGCCTGGAAAAGCTACGGCAGAAGAGAGCGTGCTATTTAGGCAGTTCCCTTCATGCCACCACCATAGCTCAAAGGGACAGAAATCAAGAAACATTAGAATCAGTGTAAGCCTATTAGGACATTAAGGAAGAATAAAACACACAGAAATTCAACAAAATGTTAAAAGGCACAGAGAAAGCACATATTTCTGAGTACAGAGCAACTTATTTTCTGGAGGTACTCCAGATTTTCAGTTTCCATCTGGCGATACTTAGCGCTGTGATAAGGGAAGAGGAGGTTTCCAGCTGAAACACAAGAGTGCACATCTGACATGAAAGACCTACAAGTAGGACTGCCACAGTCTAATCAAAACCCTTAGGATCTAAACAAGGATGGACATGGATCTAAATCATGCTTGCGCCTGTATAGAGAAACACGCTCTATTTAAATAAACGCAAATTGGGAACCTGTGACTGAAAGTGTGGTCCAGCTAGGAAAGACTTATTCTCACTCTTTTTTTGTCCTTCCCCAGCACAGGGTGGTTTAGCTTAAGCTGAGACTTGCCATTTACAGGTATACAATAAGCCAGTTGGGATTTTTCATTCTTCAGAGCAGCTACTGACTGTAACACTTGGTGCTCCAGCATTCACAAACATTACATCTGTCGCAGGGAAGAGGCAGGACGCATGTGGGTGCTCAACCATGGGTGCCAGAGAGATGACAACCCTCTGGGTACTGCATCCCACTGCCCTGCCTTGGCTATCTCAGCTGGAGGAGGACAAGAAGCTGTGGTTCCTCTGGGGCCAGAGACCTGCCTCTCGCCTAACATACACCACGGCTCAAACAAAAAAAAGCAAACGAACCCTCATAAAAACCAAGAGTCTGACTGCTTTACTGTACCCCGAAGTGCTGCTCTGCTTCAGGCTGACTGCTGAGCAGGGCTGCGCAGCGCAACCTCAGGGCGCAGGCCTGTTGCTCCCCATTTGCAAACGGGACTGGTGGGGAGAGGAGGGAAGAGGGGCAAGAAGGTGCCCTTTGGAAACTACAGCCTCCGAGTCAACTTCTGTCTCAATGACCAACCAGCACCACAAATTCCAAAACACAAACACCTAAAGGTCTGTGCTGCACATCAATGCAAATACTATTCATTTCTCCTGCTTGGTGAAATCATGCTCGTGAGGTGAGAAGGGTGGGAACGGCGACAGCACAGCCAGCCCAAGCAGGCAGGTGTAGACATGCAGTAACAGGACAAATAAGTCTTATGCCTTCTGCTGCAAGCAGAAAATATATTTTAGAAAATACAATGGCAAGAAAGTTGCATCAGATCTGGAATTGGGCAGTAAAGAGAAGCTCTCTGAATTTGTTCAATTATTTAGCTTTCCAGATTTTGTGGGGGTTCCCCCCTAGATTACTTCAGGCAAGACATTTCTCTGCTATTCTTAAAACTATCCCATTCAACTACAAAATGAGATTGAATCTAGCAGAAGAGTTTTGTTTCTTCAGGATTCAGCAGCTAACGCCAAATGAAAGACGAAAGAGAAGCCTGTCTTGTGATGAAAGGACAAGGAAAAGAGCAATCACATAAGAAAACCAATGCCCAGACCTCCAAACAGCAAAGCAATTGCATATGTCAGGTTCCCACAATACAGTGGTGCCAGCTGAGGCTTATGTTAAAACTGTGCAATAAAATTAGATGTCTGGAGCCTCTGTCAGAAGAATGATGCTATCTCATTAATGGGATTACATAGAAAAATTGGAGGGATTTCAGTCAAGAGGAATAACACGATTAAGGATCAAAAGAGTGTGACTCATGAAAGAATGTAAAAAGTGGATGCTGTGCTCTTGCCTGAAAAGCCCACATCTCAGAACTGGGGAGGCTCGGTGGTACCAGCGACACCACAGCATCTCCCCCCCTACACCTGGAATCACAGTGATAGATCAGACCCCACAGAGCGAAAACCCGTATTATAAAATACTGGCTTTGTTATGACAACACTATTACCATTTCACTCAGCAAGAAACTAATAATCGGAGAGGAAAGAGGAGACAGCTGGAGGATACAAGCCCTGTAAGAGAAGAACACATTTAGTCAGGAAGAAAAGAGACGGGAGAAAAAAAAAAAAGAAAAAAAGAGATTGTGACTGGAGAGACTTGGTAGAATCAAAGCCTGTCAGTTAACGACTGGAGAGGATTTCTTAGCCATAGGAACAACATACATGTGCAATCATCTTCCCAAGGGGGATACTGGAAATCACAACTGCTGCATCATCTGAAGAGGGGCTAGCCACCACCCCAAAAACACCACCATAAGACTCCAGCATTGGCAGGAGGTGAACTAGCTACAGGGGGAAGGGGAGAAGGTGTTGTGGCAGCATATGTTCCCTAGTCACCACTACTATGTTACATTGCAGGAAAAATAAATGAATAAGTAAAAAAGATCTCTATAGAATGAGATTCTCTTCACTGAGGGGTTCAAGATCTCTCTGCAATCCATCTTTTCCAGCTGAAGGACTGTAGGTTAAGTAAAAAGGTTCATTTAAATTCTACACACTTTCAGAGTGATAAACTGATTTCAGAAAGCATTATTACGTCTGAACTCTCTCTCACCAGGGGTGAAAGCCAGCTACCTTGTGAACCATTTTTATGACAGCTAATATTCTCTAAAAATTCATTAGATGTCAACATGAAGGACAAAAGACATCACTGCAGAAGAGCGGATGCTACAAGGTACTGTACAAAGCGTATCAGGGTCACTTGCCCTGCATTCCTCCGTGTCAGCACAGGGCAGCACCGCTTCAACGCCCAGCAGCGGCCTTGTTTCTTGGTTATTGTGTGGCAAATCTTGGCTATTTGTGTGGCAAAAAGTCCAACAAAAGTAACACTTCCCAAGAAGAAACTTTGCTAAGGAATTGCCAGACCTGGAGGTGCCCAAGCAAAGCCCTTCAGAGCATGCCCACAGCCCGTGCCACCCACACAGTATGCCAACAGAAGCAGGGAAACACATCGGGAAGCAGCTTCTTCCAAACCTATCTCACTCACATCAGATCCTCCAAGAAGGAAGAGCATGTACACACACGTGTGTGTACACACACTGGCAGGAGAGGGGGTTAGGACATTTAGTTGCACTTTAGACCTTATCCAGTACATGTAGCATCAGGCAATGGCTCTTCTAGAGCTGACACTTTACAGAGCAGTGGAGGCTGAAGCCCAGTTCTCTCAATTTTCACTAAGACCCTCGAGGGCGGGTGGATACTCCCTACAACTGACAGCCAGGCCAGGCGAAGGGGACTTGGCTCTGCAAGGCTCAGAAAGCTCTGCAACCAAGGAAAATGACTCCAACAGAAGATGCAAACAGAGCAGATTTATTTGCTATTTTTGTATGGTTTCTTACCACACAACACACTCGAAGCTCTTAAGTCATTCAACTTTAAAGATGAGCTTTCTCAGAAGCTGTGCTTTCATGTAACTGGGCAAATTCATCATGTTGCTTAAGCAAATCAAGATCTAACAGCCTCTTCTCTGCCCCCTTTTTTCATTGTTTTGTCTTTTTCTGTTTTAAGAAACTAACCTTGAGTTTTAAAGTGCAGCCTTATTTCAGTAGGTATACACCTCTTAGTACAGATTGCTAAATGCAAATACACAGCATTTGGCCCTTCATCTCCCATCTCAGGACAAGCATTTAGAGAAACAGTGACAGTGTTTACAACGAGTAACATTCATTGCAGGCTGTCAGAAAACGTCCACGATCTGCATTGTGCCACACACACGAACATTTTTTTACTGGAGCCCAGAATCTCTGTTAAAAACCTTCAGTGCTTTTTCTGATTTACTATAGTAATAGTAGCAGTTAATGGGGTTTCCAGAACCACATCAATGACCATGCTGGTTACTTTGGGCTCTCTTTAGAGTCCTCAGACAGACGTGGGACACCTCCACAATGGTCTCATTCCTTAAGTTTATGCTCCCGAGTACCTTGCATCCAGTGTGAGTCCGGGTCTTCATGAGGGGAGTTGTGGTGCACAGCTCAATGGCTTCTGGTTCGTGGAAGATCACTGTCGGGAGAGGCTCTTTCCGAAGAGTTAGGACATTCAACTTAGTCTTTAACATGGTCTGAAAGTGCTAAACAGAGAAAGAAAAGCAATTATCTCCAGTCTAGTGCAGAATAATCAGAGTTAACAGTTGGACGTGTCTGCGTGTTTCACTTGCTGTTCAGTGCCTTGGAAGTTTCCGTGGGGAGAGTTAACAAGTTCTATAACTTAAGACAGTGAATATCCATTATTACTATTAGCAATGTGGAGACTGTTTTTAATTTAAAAAGATATACATGCACAAAATGAGAGGATTCATTAGAATCAACGTAAGTCCCCAAAAGGGTCTAAATTCAATGTCAGATCACTCCCAGGCATATTATAAAACTGTTCACATGCCCAGTTCCTCTACTAACAACAATCTGGAGGGAAGAACAGGAGATCAAAGACCATTCAACGAACTATGGATTCATCCATTCTTGTTTTCTTGCCGCTGTACTTAAATCTCATCCCACTGACCTTTGTAGATGTTACCGCTCCCACTGAGCTGAATGCCTCCTCAGTTTGCCTTTAGCATGTAAATTTTAAATTCTCTTCCTTTGTAAGCAACAGTTCCTCTAGTCTCCAATGTAAATACCACTACTGGTACTAACCAATAGATGTCATTCAAAACTTGCCACTTGCTATCACAGACAAGAATAACTTCCCAGGCTTGGGGGAAGAACTATCCAAGCAGACAATAATGTCATTGAATGAAGGGTTTCTCAGCAATTGCTTAAAAGCTAGTCCTTGAAAGATTTCCAAAGCAATTTTGTGGAATCAGGAGTCAGGGAAATTTTTCAACATTTGGATGTTTCTTTGAACTGAACTTCATTTGAGAAACTGAACATTTTCGCTTGCTACTACTTATCTAAGTCAGCAAATATGCAGATATGAAGCAAATCAACATAGTGTTCCCAGCTAGTAACATACTGTAGCACTGTCTAAAGAAATACGCATTTATTAAAGCTTCATAACTTGACTCTTCTAAATCAGCAGTTATTAGACATATGTGCAATGACTCCAGATCACTTTTATCAAAACCAGACCATTTGTTCTGACTTCTGATGGGAGATTCTTAACTTGTTTTGCTGTCACCCCTTTCCTCAGCCTCCCCTTCACCTCTGCAAGGCAGACCAACATTATGGGGTCTGGCTTGCAGAGAAAGAGACGCTAAGTGATTTCCCAGAACCATACAAGAAGTCACTGTCAGAGCTAGAAAATCAGCTCAGGTCCTTGGTTTTCAGTCCTGTGCTTTCGGTGAGCAGAGGGCCTATTAAACATTTCATTTATACACAGGGGATGAATCAACTATTGGATACTATGCTGTTTTCACATGGATTTTTGTGGATTTAAGTATTCCACTGAAAATGCATGAGAATTTCTTGGAAATAAACTTCCAATAATTCACAAATACTTTATCATTAGCTAACTGAAAGCCTGCTAATACACTTCTAAAACAGTTTAATCCTTAGCTCACCATTGTTTAGGTCTAATAATTGTTATGATACCAGATCTACAGCACCTTAAACATTCTCATAAGCATATTCAAGGCATAAACACTAACAGTTTGTGAAAATAGTTCTTTTTTTCCTACCTCACACAAGAAACTACAGCCTGTAACAGCAATACTTTAGGGGGTCCATGCTGTTTGTGCAAGCATTCATGTTTCCACCCCAGTGAAGAAATCTACTCATTTTTCATCTGGCTCATGTTACACATTGTACCATTCCCTCTTCCCAAACACAGTTCCAGCAAAAAAGCACTCCATTTAAGATGATTATACATTAAAGAAAATTCTTTGACACATGTTTCTGAAGATAACGGAGCTCTTTGCCAGCCAGGATTAAAACTAAACTCACTGAGAAAACCTATTTGATTCTACCTTTCAGTTGTGATTAACAGCCTTTTGTCTGGAGTTTCCTCGGCTTCTCTGGTGAAGTTGCTAGCAAAGGCTAAACAACAGATAACCAGCTGTAACGAGTGTAAAGCAAGCTCAAAGTTTGAGATCCTGAGTTTGAAGGGGCACTGCTGATTGCCAACTGCAGCACTGGGCTTGCTGGTTCCATTAACTAATTGCTGTCTACTACCACTGCAGTTCTCTCTCATAGCCTGACTTACTTTCACACATAGGCTCTAGGTCTGCTAACTTGCTGTGCAGGCTACACTTCTGGAGGAGAAAATACACAGAAGGGAGCAAGTGCTGGAGCCCTGCCGCGCGCAGGTCACGGCGATTCCCCACCTGTGAGTGGCGCCTTTCCGAGCACGGGGAATGCTGTCCCCAAGGTCACCTACTGCCTGGTGCATGCAGGCGACGGGAAAGGAAGGCAGAGGGAGAAAACTTACCTAAATGTGTTTTTAACTTGCAGTTGTACTATTTTGCTGATGGGCCAATTTTGGACCAAACCAGAGATAATGGTTGTGAAATATCAGGTTGAAGAAGATCCTATGCTAGCATTTAACTTCTCCCTCCCTGTGCGCTGAAAGAGCTCTGTTTCCATATATGATCTGTTTACAGAGGTTCTCAAAGAAAGAATAGTGCTTCCATGAGATACTCAGTAGATGAAAAAACTCCATTTAGCCCCTCTGAGTACTGAGCTTGGACCTCCAAAACGGTGGTTGCCCTCTCCTAGCATCTCTATCAGCTTCAGTGGGAGTACTGACAGAAAGAGCACAATTTGACCAAAATGAGGAAAGCTATGACAACGATCTACTTTTTTTTCCATGTTTTAACAACTACATATACAGTCTTAAACAAAGAAAAGACTGCTCTCTGCCTCACAAAGGCAATTCAATACTTGTATGAGCAGCAAGTTGGAGTGATTGGGTGCCAAAAACACTAGAGCACAATTGGCAGCAAACAGATAATTAGTTGCCAGAGAAGCGCAGGACGGATTGGGGGTGGACACAGAAATAGCCTTTTCCCTTGGACTGCATGGCTAGCGCAGACAACGCTGCGCTCCCTGCACACAGGTCATATGATGGCTGCCATAAGAAAACCAAGTCTATGCCAGGAGACACCACGCAATGAGGCCCCAAATAAACAAGTTATTGAAAGACGTGTCTAACTTTCACTATGTGAGCAGTCCCAGTAAAGCACGCGTAGTCAATGGGATTATTCATGTGCTTTAAGCCAAGAACAGGATAAAGTGCTTCACTGAACCCATTTCTTAGTTTCCACTCCCAACTGGCATCTCCTGCGGAAACTGTTGGCAAATGCTGACCTATAACAGCAGCCAATGTATTTTTTGAGAAGAAGCATTACCTCTCCACTGCTGTGAACCCAGAATATTTCTTTAAAGTGCTTTAAGTTCACAAAGTTCTTGAAAAGCATGACTTTGGCAATTCAGTGAATGAAGGTTCAGGGAACATTATACCATTCACATTTCATGTGCCAGAACCATTAGGTTCATTTGGTAGCTCTTATACTGAAAATCTTCAGAAGAAGATAGTCTTAACTGGCATGACTATAACAGCTCAAAACTGCACACCATTCATCCTTTATCCATTTAGATGCTGCTACTGATACAGATTTTACGTTTAAAAGAAATACAAGGAACAACATAACAGTAAGAAATTGGCAGCAAGCTTTTAAATTTCTTGAGCAAACAAAATACCTTAATTGCCACAGACAGGATCAGAGCTGTAATTAGCATTGTATTTTCCTATTTGCTGAACATGAAATCATTCAGAATAAAAGTTAAGTAAAGCCCCGAATGACATCGGAAAATCATCTTAATACATAAACATAGTTCTGTTTATTCAAGGATTCAAGTTCCATCATTTTCTTCTGCTTAGTCTACCAGTCTTAATGGCATCCTCTCCCCCTGTAGAAGAAAACTGAAGGGTGTATAACTGGTAGGCCAAACCCGTAGCAGGCCAAGGCTGTCACTACAGAGGTACAACAGGCATTGCCTCTTTGGTGACCTTCAAAGTGCTCCCTATTTCAAGGAAAAGAGTGTCATCACTAACCCTCTTAGCTACAGGTTAATTGAACATAAGAATCAAGAACTTTAAATTGTTTTCAATGTATATTTTGTTATCAGCTCAGTCACACATTAGCTGTAGATTAACTATTTCACAACATCCAATTTACAAATTATAGGTGTTATGTATTTAATTCAAGCACAGATTCTGTTGCTGTTAAAAGTGAGAATTAACAGCATTTGGGTTTTGGTTTAGTTTGTCAGCAAAAACACCACCACTTCCACAACTCAGGCCAAACATCTTGGAGAAAACAACTGTGACTCTATACAATTAAACATGCCTTGGAGGAGAAAATAATGCACTGAAAATTTGTAATAGTAATGCTTAACACTTCTGCACAGCTCTTCATCTTCAGGTCTTCACTAAACAGTCACTGCTGTTCACAATATTGAGGGCTCAGCAGCCAAGCCTGGGTTAGTGGATCTTTTCATCTTCATGATGGAAATAAAACAAAGACTCAAACTCAATAAATCTAAGAAAGTTATATATTGGATGTGAATACAAAAATAAATGTCAAGAAAGAGAGGACTAACTCATTGTAATCTGTAACCCAGCAATAGGGGATGAGCAAAATGAACACAGTTTAGAGGGTGATCAGGTTGCGACATGGTGAACCTGAGTAAGAAAGTCTTCAGCACCTTCACCCTCAGGCCCCATTATCCCTTCACGTCAGCATTACAACCAACATGACTGCATAAACTGGCATCACATTTCCAGACAACTTGTATTTCACCAAATTTTGCCAAAGACACACACTGAGTGAAAAAACAAAATGATAGCATATTAACTTGTGAAAAAGAGTTATTCTAGAAGTTCAAAGCCTCTGAAAGAGGGGTTTGCCAGAATGGGAAGCAATCATCTGGGCAACTCATCCTCTACAGCACCTACAAAGAAATTTCCAGATGAAATCCACGTTTGAGCACCAGCAAAAGATCACTCCCTGGAAAATTAAAAAACAACCTCTATAATGTACTACTTCAGTGCAAGTACTTCATCTACCTTTGAAATCCATTTAGTTGTGGAATGAAACCAAAACTTTTCAACAGCATCCCACCGTAAGACGCAGCAGCCTAGGAGGGGAAAGACACAACCAAGTGCAATGAACTGCAAGAGAATTTCAGAAAGTCCAAATGTCCCTTTTCACCTGTTCCCAGTAGAATTTGACTAGCAGCATATCCAGTCTGTAGATACAGGACTCCACTCTCTCACTCATGGCCAGAGGAGATGACAACACAGGAGTCCTTCAGCAATATGGTGACACCATCAGTGACATGAGCACAGCTGTGATCCAAGGACCACCCCACCCCAAGCCTCTAGTTTTTTGACAAGAAAAGAATTCTGATACTGTTCATATGAAAACTGATCCATTTCAAGGCTTTGTTTTGTTTAAAGCAAATGCTATCCAGTACAGATAAATGTCACATCTGACCCATTTCTTGTTAAACAAATATTTCTAATAGAGTTTAAATACTTTCCCCTCCCCTATACTAAACTTCACTGTGCTGTATTTATTTATCCTTTACTAGCAGTTCATATAAACATTGTACCAAACACTACAATAAAACCCTCTACAGAGGGGATGGAAGCACTTATCAAAGTCACAAATGATCCCATCAGCAGCCTGCTCGGTAACACAAAACTGACTGGCATGCACAAATCCAAGATCATGTCACGACTCTTTATACTCAAGCAGATTCGGCCTGAGTTGTCTTCTTGAAACCAATCCAATTCCAGAAATCTGGTTATTAAAAGCCTATCTCATCTAGCATGTCGAGAGCTATATTTTGCCAGCCTGTCAAACCAAATCCATTCAATCTCCTTCAGGTAACAGAAGCTACTTAGGTGAAAAAGCAGATAACTATGTCTGAATGTACGTCTCTCAATTGCAAAGAAACAGCAAGGGGCATGAGGGGACGACAGGCTCACCTGTGGGCGCCCTGGGACACATTCTGAAAGTGGGGGAGCTTGGGCAGGCCCGTGGCATGATCCAGCATGCCCACACCGAGGGCATGGCACCCCACGGATCTTGGGGCAAAGCATATGGGAAACATCATGCCACAAGAGCAAAAAAAAAAAGGAAAAAAGAGACCTTTGCCATCTGACCACGTGCCCAATGCCACCGTGCATGGTTGGGCATTAGAAATTGAACCAGTGCCTGCCACCATTTCCCTCCTCATGTCCTCCTGCTCCTACCACCCCCCCACCACATAGCACAGAGGAGAGACGGGGGCAGCAAGGAGCATTTTGGCACAGAAAAGAGTGATCTGCATTTATCAAGGTAAGCTCAAATCTGTACGGCCGG